CATCATTATACAACATATCTGTCAGTTAACTAATACATTAAAATTACACAACTAATACTTTTTACTGTTAATGTCACTGATTTTACATACTTATAGCAATGTATTAACAGTATTAAAGCTGAATTGTAGTGTCTGTAATGTGTATGTGTGTGTGTGTGTGTGTCTGCAATGTGTGTGTGTGCCTGTAATGTGTGTGTGTCTGTAATGTGTGTGTGTGTGTGTGTGTGTGTGTCTGCAATGTATGTGTGTGTGTGTCTGCAATGTGTGTGTGTAATGTGTGTGTGTGTGTCTGCAATGTGTGTGTGTGTGTAATGTGTGTGTGTGTGTAGTAAAGGTCGTCACCAGGTTGCCGTGTGAGATGTTGACATGTAAACAACCGGCTGTTGCTGGGGGTCTGAGTGGGACCTCGAGGCTATTTTGAGGCTCCGCTCTGCATCCCAGCAACGTCTATAAAACTCTGTTCAGCTTTCAAACAGAAAGAACTTCCAAAATAAGATTGAATTGAATTGAATAAAGGAGCCGAAACCTCGACGTTATGCTAATAAGGAGCGGGAAACGTGTGACGCGCCCCCTCCTTCGGTTAAAATGAATGTAATGTTTGGGCTGAAATACAAAGTCGCTGCACTGGGTGACTCAGAGATAATCTGTCACCTCGTCCTTTCTTCTGCTTTTAATCACAAAAAGGTTTCAGGTTAACGTTAATCCTCTTTGTTTCTGCAATAAAATAAATAAAATTGATGCGTCCTCTTGTCGTTTCCTCCCGCTCTCCGTCTTCACACCTCCGCTGGCCCACTTTAATTAAAATAATGGCAGCTCCATCCGCAAACTCGAGGATCACATCAACGCTGACAGCGCCGGTCAATTCTCATTTAAGAGATTACACGCCAGCAGTCGCTGTACACCAGCGCGCCCTCGGCCTGAACGCCGCCGCCAACACGTCCGGACCCGGAGATAATCAGAGGGGATACAGCGGCTGAGGATGTCGCTGGAGATCAACAGGAGACCTGCAGCCGGTGTGGAGGTGCTTCAATCAATCACAGGGTCACATATCAGCAACCACGCCCCGCTGTCAGCAGCCTCCTCAGACTCCTGTGGAAAGGTTCATTAATATAAAGTACATCTGATGTGTTGGTGTCTTCTCAGGAAAGAGCAGCTCAGCACAGATCCCAGCAGGTCGAGATGACGCGTCCCAGTCCGGACTACAGCCTGTGTCACTGTTTACTTCCTTCAAGAGTCACAATGCTTTATCATGTCGTTCATTAAAGGTTTCATATTCACATATTCACTGCTGTTAGCTGTTAGCTGTTAGCTATCGCACTGCAGCGCCAGAACATCACACCAAAACAAAACACCAGACTCCAGAGACAAAAACATTCATTTTACCTTCAGATC